AGACCTGCGACTGTACACTACTGATCTTCATGAAGTTAAATCCTGTTTTAAAGTCCAATTAAGTATATTATACTGTGTGTGTGTGTGTGTGTGTGTGTGTGTGTGTGTGTGTGTGTGTGTGTGTGTGTGTGTGTGTGTGTGTGTGTGTGTGTGTGTGTGTGTGTCAGTGCACGCCCTCTGGTGGTTTCAGAGTGCTGATCAGAGAGCTGAGGTCCGTCACAGATCTCACTCCGACGCCCGGGTGGTGTCTGCAGGTCAGATTCACTTTGAGTTGATATTAAACTCTTTGCCTTCTCAGATTCATCAACCATGACAATAAGCAGTATTCATTTATTTAGTGTGTTGTTGGAAACTGTGTATTAAACATCTGAAAGGTGATGAGCTCATATGTTAATATGCACTATAAGTAATGCATATTTATATATATATAGTAATGCTGTCCCTCTGTCCTCAGTGCGGAGCTGCGTGGGACACCTGTCCTCTCAGGAGAATAAACTCATGTTCCCATGCTCCTTCTCTCCAATGAAGTGACTTCCTGTTCCTCAGCCAATCACAGCGCAGCAGAGCGTCGTCAGAGTTTGAATGTAATAACATCAGAATAAATATATATTTTCGGTGGAGGTGTTATGGGTCTGTCAGTCAGTGTGAGTGACAGCAGCCAATCAGGTGGCAGAGATGTGGGGTGGGTGGGGCTTGTGTTCTACTAACTGATTATTTCCTGATGATCAAACTCTATTTATATAAAAACTGAATAATAAATTAAATGTGAACATGTGTTTTCAGTCTGTTCATTTATTAACTACAATGTAATTTATATATTACATTGAATATATAAAATATAAATGTTTAGGGGTTCTGATGGGTCCCTTTAACAAAGAGGGGTTCTGATGGGTCCCTTTAACTAAGAGGGGTTCTGATGGGTCCCTTTAACTAAGAGGGGTTCTGATGGGTCCCTTTAATAAAGAGGTGTTCTGATGGGTCCCTTTAACTAAGAGGGGTTCTGATGGGTCCCTTTAATAAAGAGGTGTTCTGAGGGGTGCCTTTAACTAAGAGGGGTTCTGATGGGTCCCTTTAACTAAGAGGTGTTCTGATGGGTCCCTTTAACTAAGAGGGGTTCTGATGGGTCCCTTTAACTAAGAGGGGTTCTGATGGGTCCCTTTAATAAAGAGGGGTTCTGATGGGTCCCTTTAACTAAGAGGGGTTCTGATGGGTCCCTTTAACTAAAGAGGTGTTCTGATGGGTCCCTTTAACGAAGAGGGGTTCTGAGGGGTTCTGATGGGTTCTGATGGGTCCCTTTAACTAAGAGGTGTTCTGATGGGTCCCTTTAACGAAGAGGGGTTCTGAGGGGTTCTGAGGGGTTCTGATGGGTTCTGATGGGTCCCTTTAACTAAGAGGTGTTCTGATGGGTCCCTTTAACTAAGAGGGGTTCTGATGGGTCCCTTTAATAAAGAGGGGTTCTGATGGGTCCCTTTAACTAAGAGGGGTTCTGATGGGTCCCTTTAACTAAGAGGGGTTCTGAGGGGTTCTGATGGGTTTCATCAGTAATAACATCTTGTCTTATATGTAGTTTTATTCACGTTTTTAAATAACGGACGAAGCAGAGTCAGTTTGTTTGTTTTATTGATGTTCAGACAACACTTGCTCTTCCAGTCCTTCACAATAAAAGCTCACACACACCGGCTTCCAGTTTTCTTAAAAAACATCAACCTATAAAATCATCCGTCTGTTCCTCTGTGCAGCATCGAGCACTCTGATTGGCTGTTAGGCGCTACAGGGAACAGTCATAATGCCCCGCTAAAACAAAAAGGACAAATTAAACTCACTTATAAATAAAACTCTGATAAAAACGGAATCAAACGTTTTCTAAAAAAAGATTTGCAGTCGATCCCTCGGCCGTTTGAAATGATTCGGATTCTTCTTCGCTGGTTTCCCGGCGGACGCACCACAGAAGAAGAAGAAGTCTTATTCAAGTTTAGGTCTTAAAGTCTTGCATTGACTGGCATGAGGCGGCCGGTGGCTCCGCCCACAGTGTGACATCACGGCGGTCACATGGTGCTCTCCCGCACCGCCCCCCCCTCTGCGGCACCCGGGCTGCAGCTGAGGGGGGGGGGCACCTGGAGGGGAGGGGGCACCTCGATGGCGACGTCTCTCCGCCTCACAGACGTCTCTTTGGAGTGATAGTCGTCACTCTGGTCCTTCGCAAAGTTCACGAACACCTGAGAGACAGAGAGGGAGCGTCAGAACCTGAAGCTCTGAAGCATCGAGTAAAGAACAGAGAAACTAGAAACTGAATCTGAAGGACCAGGAAGGAGTTCACACAGGACATAGACTCAGTTCCTCCTGTGGGGTCGGCTGGTAGACCTTCATCCAGACCCCTAGATACGGGGCTCCTACGCCACATGGTGCCCTGCGTGGGGCTCCAGACCCCCTCACACCTCATCAGACACCTGAACCTGGATCCCCTGATCACACCTGGCTCTGATCACACCTGGTTCAGAGGGGGGGGATCTGAACCAGGTGTGATCTGAACCAGATCACACCTGGTTCAGATCACACCTGGTTCAGATCACACCTGGCTCTGATCACACCTGGTTCAGATCACACCTGGTTCTGATCACACCAGGTTCAGATCACACCTGGTTCTGATCACACCAGGTTCAGATCACACCTGGTTCAGATCACACCTGGTTCTGATCACACCAGGTTCAGATCACACCTGCATCAGATCACACCTGGTTCTGATCACACCTGGTTCTGATCACACCAGGTTCAGATCACACCTGGTTCAGATCACACCTGGTTCTGATCACACCTGGTTCAGATGCTGCTCAGGTGAGAGTCAGGGTGGAGACTTTGAACTCCTCA